AGATAGTTAAATATCTATAGTCTGAGTCTCATTCTTGTAAAAATATTTGTAATTATTGGTCTTATTGACCAGAGAAATCTTTAGTAAATTCTCAATACAAATTATTAAATAAAGATAAAGGCAAAACCCCACCTTAAAAAAAAAAAAAAAAAACAAATTATATAAGCAAAAATTAGAACATATTATAAATTTATATACTATATAAATTTAAGTTTTATGCATCTATTCTACAGTATTTTTCTATAGTTGTATGCTTTCTAAATATATACTTCACTTTTTTTTGTTGTAGTCTCAAGATCATACCAAGAGGTTTGACTATAATCTAAATTAATGTAGTGGTAGACAAAGACATTACTATATCAATACTGATTATACAATGTCATATACTTTATACTTCTGCTTGTAGCTATATTTCACAAAATAAAAACATATAAAAACTTTGAATAATGATAATAATTATAATATAAAAGTGCAGTTTCAATGAACATTAGTTAAAAAAATAGCTCAAAAGACCTAGGCTTCCTAACTTTTTGATTAAAAATCTTAGTTTTGCTCAAAATTTTTTTCTTGTACATATGATATCTTGTATATATACATATATATTTTTTTTAAACGTCTCATCTCGTAAACTATAAGTTTATTTTTTTTATAAATTTTTTTCTTTTAAAAAACTTGACATATATTATATCTTATATATATATATAAGTCACGTACCTTTTTTTCTAGAGTATGCCTTGCTTCATAAACTCGAGAACTAAAAGTTTATACAATATCTTGTATATATACATATACACATACACATGCATATATCTTCACTTCCAAATTATGCTTTTTTTTTACAATATACGTATTATCTTGTATACATGCACTTTTTTTTCAGATTTTTATGCCTTGTCTCATAAACTTAAAGTTTTTTTTTTTTTAAAAAAAACTTTTATACTGTATCTTATACAGTACATATATATAATACAAAAACCTTTCTTTTTGAATTATATTTTGTCTCCCAAACCAAAAAATTTTTGGGGTGTTATCTTTTTTTCATTTTTAAAGCCTAATACAGAGCTTTATATATATACACCTTTTTTTCCAAATTATGTCTTTTGATTATGCAGTTAAGAAAACACTTAGCAGATTTAGCAATGCTCAGTGTAAAGAAATATGCAAATATGCTAAAGCAAGACCAGCAACTAGACATCAAAATATTGTAGAAGAGTTCCTGAGAAAGTATCCTGCACTAAATCTTGAAAGATTAACTATCAGCAAAACTTTAAAAAAAAGTGATCAATATTTTTATCTTGAGAAAAGCATTCTAGTACAAAATCAGTATAAAAATAAACTACTCTTACTTGAGACAGCAATGATTATTTGAGTAAATCAAGTTTTTGCTGCTAGTATAGTTCTTTTAGATGAGTTGATAAAATTAAAAGATCATGAATTTAGCAATCGCCTTGGTATTCCTAAAAATGATCTTAAATTCTCAAATAGGTGGGTTTCAAACTTCAAAAAGTGAAATTCTTTATATTGATACAGGTTTAATAGTAAGGCTGCAAATGTGACTTTAAAGACTTTAGCAGATGAAAGAATTAAGCTAAGACAACTTCTTTCTCAATATAAGTCTGAGAATATATATAATATTGATGAAACCAGGATATTTTATCAGATGTTACCAAATCATTAGCAAAGCAAGCAGTTTCTGGCAAAAAACAAGTAAAATTAATCTTTTACTTTTTGGTTATTCTAATCTTAATAACTATAGTATTTTATTAAAAATTGTTGCTTATATATATTCAGGACAAATCATGACTTACTATATTGCTGGCTATGAATGCAACTGGCTCGCACAAACTCTGGTTGCTTGTTATTAGTAAATCAAAAAAACTATAGTCTTTTAAAAGAATAAGGATATCACAACTTCTGATTATATATGAAAATAATAAGCGTGCATAGATGAAGTCTGATATATAAAAAAAGTGGTTAAAATATTATGATAAAGGCTTTTGTATTTAGAACAAAAAAGTTTTGCTCATTGTAGATAATACTAGATTTTATAGTATATCAGAAATGTCTACTTCTTCTGATAATATCAATAACAATAGAGATCAAGAGCCTAAAAGCAATGAATCAGGTTCTAAATATGAAAATAATAAAATTTCTATTTTTGAAAGCAGTGAAAATGGTGAAATTTCTAATTCTGAAGGTAATGAGGATAATCAATCTAATTCTTAACCTTATAGTAGGGCTCATGAAAAAACTCGCAAAAGAACTTGCAGAAGGACTTATGAAAGAACTTGTAAAAAGCTACACAGAAAATTGTGAATAACTTTGAATGAAAGATCTAGTAAAAAATCATGTAAAG